CCAGCTCATTATCTCAGTCTCCATTTTCATTGCTCACATTGGTCTCCAAGTTCTCTAGAATCTTCTAAAGAAAATTCAAGCCAGGCAGTGGTGGCACATGCCTTTAATCCCAGCACTCTGGAGGCAGAGGCAGGCGGATCTCTGTGAGTTCAAGGCCAGTTTGCTCTATATAGTGGGTTCCAACACAACCAGGGCTACACAGAGAAACCCTGTCTCAAAAAAACAAAATAAAAATAAAAAATAAAAAAGTTTAAAGAAAAAAATTCAGGGGTCTACAAGGTGGAGTTGGGGCCAAATGAAGATCAATCTGTGAGCTCTGGGCCAGCCTGCATACCTGTTCCTCCTTCCACCAGAATGAAGGACCCTCAGTCTATCCATCTGTCGATCCAGTCCTAACAATCCTAAGAATGTTGAAGCAAGCTAACTCACCTTATTTAAAGTTTATTTCCTCTCCCTAAGTAAGGGCCTGTTTGGAGCGGTGTTGTTTGAGTCAGGGTCTCAGTGTGGCCTAGAGCTCAGGATTCACCTCCTTCAGCCCCGAGTGCTAGGATTACAGGCTTGCTTGCGCCCCTACACTTCACTAGCAGGATTTGCACCCTGCCGCTAACAGTACTGCCCTGGCTGGTGCTCTGTGTGGAAACTTAAAGGGGGGAATCAAAGTGGAGCACAGATCTGCCTTGCTCTGCAGACTGTGGAGACTTCAGCACTAGTCAAATCTAAATGACACAAGTTCTGCTTGGTTTCATCCAGTTTCATCTCCTGGACTGTAGTCATGAAAGACAGAGTCCACAAGATGTCCCAATGTGTTTCCAGTCCTGATTATACACCCTCGATTTACAAATGTACCCCTTTTGCAGATCACTAAACACCTGTCATGGGCTGTCAACTTCTCTAGGTGTAAGAGGTGGTTGACATTTAGCTAGCAACTTAAAAATATGCTTATTTTATTCTAGATTATGTATTGGGGGAGGGGGTCATGTACAGGTGCCCTTAGAGGCCAGAAGAAGGGAGTTACAGGCAGTTGTAAGCTGCCACGTGGGTGCCGGGAACTGAACTCCTGTCCTCCACAAGAGCAGCATATGGACTTAACTGCAGAGCTGCCTCTCCAGCGGCTCAGCCCGGAACTTGTCACACTGGAAAGAAACTACGACCTACGCTGATGCTCCTTAACGAGACACACACGGAGTTCAGCATTTCAATAAATGGAGTATGGAGAGAAAGCTGGGAGCATCGGGGAAATAAAGGTCCTTCAAATGGTCAGCCCCTGCTCTGATTAAATTGTGCATTTTTAATAGAGTTGGTATCAAGTGAAACTTAAAAAAAGAACATGTGGGAATTTAAAATAAAATGAAACCTGCTGTTTTTCGGGGTCAGCAGTACCATGGTGAGATTTGTCTCTTAAACAATGACACTTGCTATCTCTGGAGTTCTGTGAATACTTTTGAAGTGTCATATTAAAACCAATCTCGTGGCCTTGAGGCAAAGGGAAGCAATTAGTCGTGGAGTTGTGAATAAATAAAAATCCATTTATACACCCGTCCTTGACATGTGCCTTGTGAATCTTAGAAACTTCATCTAGAGGGAAAAGGAATGCTAAATCATGAATACCGGTCCTGATCACATTGCCATGTGGCTTCCTAAAACAGTTGAGTTCATGCCAATCTTTTGAGTTTGAATTTATATGTATGTATTCACCGGTATTGAACACAAAACAAAGACCCACCAACAGCCACCCAGGTGAGGAGATGTGAGGGGTGCTGGGGGCCACTAGGGCCATGACAAGTCGTTTTCAGAGGGTCCTTGGTCCTCAAGCGAGCCTAGCGTACTTTCCTCCTCACTCTCCCCTCTTCAAAGACATGGGAAAGTTGTATTCCTGAAGCTGAGGGCCTTCGCTCTCCAGCCAGCTCCCCAGCAGCTCCCGGGAGGATTCCAGGCAGGGAGGAGTGCAGAGTTGTTTTCACGTTGTTCTAAGGGTCATCTTCTTCAACACTGGGGGATTGGGGAAGCCAGCCACAGAACCGAGCTGACCGTCCAGCTGGGGATCTGGACCTGGTCTGATGCTAGCCAGAAGAGTAGCACTGTTTTAAGCCAAGCTAGCAGCTAGGAGCCCAGGGGGTTCCGGAGCGTGAGAAGCAAATGTGGGCAGCCATGGCCCCCACAGCTCAGATCCCTGACCTACTTCCCGGGCCCCTTTCTGTTCTTGGAGCAGTTTAAAATCCATAAATTAAGGAAATTAACTGATGAGGCCCGCGGCATCTTTGTAAGCTATTTAAATCTATAAATTTACAACATCTTCTGCATATATCAAGTAATTGAACTAACTGCAGGGATGTAACTTTAATGAGAAAATTTCCCCCTTCTCCAGTAGTTTGAGATAATAAGTAAGTAAATAAATAAATAAATAAATCCCTCAGGAGGAAAGTTTCTTATTCCCGCGTGAAGTTACGGACGCGCGGTCGGGATACTTTCTTGGCACTAGAGGTCCCCTGAACCAGGGGAGACTGGGTCCTCTCCCTCCCCCCACATCATCTTTCCACAGTGCTGGGGTCTGGCCTCGAGAGCACCCCCAGGAGTTTGGCCAGTAGAGGGCGCCCAGGCCCGGCCGGAGCCAGTGAAGGGGACCGGGGCGCCGCTCCCAGCCGGAGCGCACCCGCCTTCCTAGCCGAAAGCCTGGCTTTGGCCCGGGTGTCCCGAGAACCAGGCGGGGGCGCAGTCTGGGCAAGGCGCACCGGCCACGATCCGTTTCCTAGGAGCCGGGAAATGGTCGAGAAGGAGGAACGGGCGGGGCGCAAGGGAAGAAGGAGGAGGAGGAGGAAGGGGCAGCGGGGAGCAGCTAGGGGCGTCCTGGGCGCAGGCCCCGCGCCGCAGGGACCTTTGGCCGCCGCCGTCTCCATCGCGCCGCGCTCGTTCAGGAAATGGCGCGAGTGGCCCCGGGCGACCGGCCGGGTGCCCCGCGCCCCTCCCCCGCGGTGGTCACCGCGTGTCCGCAGACGTCACGGGCGGCGCTGCTCCCCGGGAGAGGGGTAGCCGGGGCCGAGACCCCGGGAAAGAGGGAGGGAGAGAGGGAGGTAAGCCGCCTGGCAGCCCAGTTTCTCTCCCCTCCCCACACCAAGTCCCGCCCTCAGCCCCGGGGCGCCGCGGCGGCGGCTGCTTCTCTCCTCTTTGTAACCGAGGAGTCGAGAAATGTGAGAAACGTGCCCTGTGTTACTTATTTGGGAGTCGAAAATTTATGCCCAGCTGAAAGCGCCCGGGGAAATATTACATCAGATGAAATGACAATGATTAAAATCAGCCTCTCCCCCGCGCCCCCTCCCCGAGCCCGGAGGAGGCCCGGGCGCCGCGTGGCCGGACGGCGGGGGGCTGGGGCGCAGAGGGCGCGGGGGCCCGGGCGCAGCGCTCCCGGAAGGGTCCTGGCCGAGCCCCCCGGCACCCAGGCACCGGCCTCCAGGAACCACGGGTGGGGATCGTGAGGTGGAAAAGGAAGTGGTAGTGGTGGGGGAAACGGTGCATTTTTGTCGCCGAGCGCGGCAGGCGCGGGCGCGCGGAGCTAATTGCGACTCTAATCCTCTGCCCCGAGGCGCAGCTGAGCCCGGAGCCAGGGAGTCGCCCGCGCGCGCCTGCTCGCGCTCGCCGCGCCGGGGTAATTTGGAACCGGATCGCTGCCCTTTGCAATCGGGCTGGGCCGCGGGCGAGGCGCACAGGCTACCGGCTGGGTTTGGGGGGGCTGTTTTTTTTTTTTTCCCCAGCCATCGGGGGAGGCCGCTGGAGAGAGAGGGAGGAGAGGTGGTGGGAGCGACGGGAGGGGCAGCTGAAGAGCGGCTCGAAGAGGAGGCGGCGGCGGCCGCGGCGAGGAGGGAGGAGGCGAGGGGAGGGCGGGGAGGGGAGGCCCCGGCGCGGCGCGCCGCGAGGGGGCCGCGCGGAGCGGGGGCCGGGGGGCGGGAGGGGTGGGTGGGGGGAGGGTTGGGGGCGAGAGAGAAAGTAACTCCAGGACGAGACCGGAGCGACCCGCGCGCATCGAGCACTAGGCGACGAGGCTGCGCCGGGCGCCCGACACCGGCGGCTGCGGGGGGCGGGGGCTGCGCCGGAGCCCGATCCGCCGCTCCGGCTCCGAGGTAAGCCCAGCGCGGGCGGCCACCGCTCAGCGCCGCACACCCCTGGTTCCCAAAGTGGCTGCAATGCTGAGAAAGTCACTCGGCCCGGGGCCGGGACCTGGGCTGGGAGTTGGGGTGGGGGGGCAGGCTGCTTTGTCCCTCTGCTGAGCGCAGGGGCTGGCGGCGTGGGGGCGCCCAGCACAAAGGCCTGGCGCGCACGGGGCGGGGGGTGCCCACGTGGGCTGGTCCTGGCCGCGGGTGGACCCTCCCCACTCTGCCCGGCTCGGCTCTTCCTGCCGCGCGGGGTATGCGTCCAGGTCCTCCGCACTCTGGTTCCAGTACCAGCTGGAGTGACCTGCAGAGCCGGTGACTTTCCTGAGTCTGAAACCGGCTCCATGTAGCTTGGGTTTCGGGTTGGCGCCCAAATCGGAGAAAAGAAAAAAAAGTCTCTAACGGGACAGATGTGCGTCCTCTGACGCCCACCCCACGAGTCCCATGCTAGACGCACTGGTGGTGGTCCCAAGACCGGACCTGGGCCTCCATCTCTCCGCTGCCCACACGCACCCCTTGACCTGGATGCGGACACTCTCATTCTCGCACTCCGCGCCACTGTAGCGCCTCTCTGCCCTCCCTCTAGAAACCCCGGACTGCAGGAAGATAAAACCTTCAAGTTTTCACTCCGTGTCTCAAATGTGCATGAAGGAATTTAACTGCACGAGTGAATAACAGCATTAGTTTCAATTAATTTTTTTAAATCCCGGCAACAATAAACTTTGAGAACAAAAGCGCTTTTACGTCCTTAATTAGGCGAGCTTCCCATCTGTGGTCTTGAAGTGTCTGCCTCTTGATTTAACTTTGTCCCCGCCCCCACCGTACTCCCACCCCTTCCTCGCTGGGCCCTTAGGGTACCTTGGCCACCCCGCCCCGCGGGGCCGGAGGTTCGGCCCAGCCGGCTCCTGTAGCCCCGAAGTTCACACGGGCCGGCGGGCTCTGCGGCGGGGCTGTCGCGCACCAGGTGGCCCGCCGCGTTGCTCCCAGTCCACCCCCTGGACAGTCCTGCAGGCCCCTGGCACTGTCGCTCCGGGCAGGCGCCCAGGGCGGAGAGCTGAAGGGAACTCAGAGGCGCCTTCTGTTTACCTTTTATGGTTAAAATAACAGCTTAGCAAAGAAGCGACTTCACGAAGAAGCGATTTAGTGAAATCTTCTCAAGCTGCCGCAGCTCAGCCAGTTTAATCACCCCCAGAGAGCTGAACAACTGCGAGCACAATGGGACACAAAATCATTTTGTGTGTAAATGAGCGTGGCATTCTGCTCACTTCCCTCTGCTCAGGCGGGCGGGGCTCGGCTGCGGGTGGGCGCGGGACCAGGGTCTCCCACCACAGCTTGGAGAAGCGGGTCAATGCTGGGCCAGTTTGCAAACCCGCTGAGGTCCCTGCAACAGGCGGCTTGGCCAAGCCTCAGCCGCGTCTGGGTCGTGGTGTTTGGTGCAGTGAACTTGTGTCTCCTATCAAATTCACTTTTGTGCTTGTGATCTCAGCAGTGGTCTCGGAGAAGGGTCGAGGTCCACCGCAGATGCGTTTGTCGGAGGGAGCAGTGGAGATTCAGGTCAAGGCGTAAGGCCTGGGGCTTCCAATGGTGAGTTTCTGGTTTGTGCTGTGGGAAACACGCTCGGGCAGCTTGGGAGATTGGGTGCTTGATGCTGCTTGTCACTTGTGAGTTGGGCCCTGGTAGTGGGGAAAACGTGGTGCTTTGGTGGAATTTGGGTGGGAATTCCTTCTAGTTCTGTAGACCCTTAGTGGATCTTCCCTCATCCCCACCCCCTCCCAGGGCTGGATAAGCCATCGGGTCTGTTTTGGTTTCTCAAAAGCTTCCTTGAGATAAGTGACCTGGAATGTCCAAAACGGGACTGGACAGCCGCCCACCCCCATGGGGACAGAACACCCTTCCTTCACCCCAAACAGTTCAGGTCAGAGAACTTCCCAGGGCACTGGGGGTAGAGAACAAATCATAGGAGAGGAGGAGCCTTTCTTACATTTGAGGGTTTGAGTCCAATGTTTTATCATTGGATGCCGAATTTTAAGGTATAGATCCAGAAGAGAGGGTTTAATAGAAAACCCAGGTTACCCTGGAGTTGACCCATAAGAGTTAAATGTATGTCAGAGAAGTCTAGGTTATGTTTGTGGAAACCCCCCTCCCGTGTGTGTGTGTGTGTGTGTGTGTGTGTGTGTGTGTGTGTGTCCCTATCTCCCTTCGAGACCGCCCAAGCCAGTAGAAGTGGTAGCTAGAAGCCAGAAACCTACCCTTTTCCACCCTTCTGCATGGGTCCCATAAAAAGCCCCTGGGGGAGCTTCTGGGGACTGAGGCACAATTTTATTTCAGGTGTCTGTGGCACATAGGAAAGTCTCTAAGTAGCTCTGGGGAGGAGGGGAGAAAGCCCATTTGCTGATTGCAGTCTGGCCTGCCCTGAATGCCTCAAGGGCCTGTGATCCTGAGGGGGTCTGGAATACATTAGGCTCAGGCAGCACCGTTCCAGGGGTCTGTGGAGAAGCAGGGAGGTGCAGAGTAGGCAAACAAAGACAGGTTCTGTCTGCTTTGGGAGCTCTAGGTGATTGGTGGCTTCCCCAGTGACTCGTCCTCATCTCTGTGCCCAAGCTTCTTACAAGAAGAGGTGTCCTATGCAAACTGCATCTTAACTGGGTGGTAAGAGGTCCTGGGCTCCCCAGTCAGTTGAGGGGAGCTGCACTCCCCCAAGGTTCTCTCCACTGATGCAAGAGGAGACACGCTTGGTAACACGGCTCTAACTCAAAATACCAAAGAAATCAGATTTGTTCTGAAACATTGCAGGGCAATAATGGCGAGCATATGTTTTAGGCTGTCATTAGCCGAATTAGCAGACATGGAGCTGCCTAGAAAATGTGTGTGAGTATGAGTGTGTGAGTGTGTGTGTGTGTGTGTGTGTGTGTGTGTGTGTGTGTGTGTGAGAGAGAGAGAGAGAGAGAGAGAGAGAGAGAGAGAGAGAGAGAGAGAGAGAGAGAGAGGGAGGGAGGGAGGCTGTAGCCTGGTGGTCTGCTTTGGGGTGTAGAGTGTTGGGAGGGCTTCCTGGTGTATATGGGATCCCAGACAGCATCTTTGTAAAAATCACTGACCCCAGGGAAGATCCATTGCCATGGCTCCTGAAGGATAAGCCCCCTGTCACTGCTTCCCACAGATACTCTGGGCAGGGATGGAAGCCTAGATGCCTCACCGCAAGGAGCGGCCGAGCGGGTCCTCGCTTAACGCACACGGCAGCAGCGGCGGCGGCACCACAGCGGTGAGCTTGCAGGGTGGGCTGGGTCAGCCCCTCAGCCCTCTGCTCTTTTCTAGAGAACCTGTTCACTAGCTGCCGGTTTTCTGGGACCCAGCACTTAGGAGATAGATATCGACTGACTGTACGATTATGTATTTTTTTTTTGAAACGAAAATGCTCTTAATTTGATGTGAAATTTACTACATGTATAAAGCTTGGCGCCTTAGGTGCTGAGGAAGTCACTAATTTAGAGGTGTCTCGTTACTGAGACAAACTTGCAAAAAACCCCTGAATCCCAATTCACAAATTGGTGATTCGTTTGTCAGGGGATATTTCACATCTAACACATAAGCCCGCGACCTTTAATTAGAATTTTGCAGTTTGTTTTATGCCCCTGGAGGCTGACACCTTGAAAAAATTTTTTTTTCTTGATTTCTTATTGCTAATAAGCATCCTTCTCCCTATCCCCCCACCCCCAGTACTTTGAAGAAAATGATGCAAATACACTTAATTACAGTGGTGGCCATAATTTGTCAGCTGAATATGTGATCAGGCACAAGCAGCAGTGATCTGATTAAATCTGTGATCACATTTGAAATAAAGGGAGGTTTAGCAACCCTTGTTTTTCCATTTATTTCTATCTCTAGGAGGGAGGAAATATGTCCCGGCTGTCACTTACCCGGTCGCCCGTGTCTCCCCTGGCTGCCCAGGGGATCCCACTGCCAGCTCAGCTCACCAAAGCTAACGCACCTGTGCACATCGATGTGGGCGGTCACATGTATACCAGCAGCTTGGCCACACTCACCAAGTACCCTGACTCCAGGTAAGAGCTCCACTCCCAGGGTCAGGCATGTGGTGCAGACCCCGGGCATTCACAGGGTACTACACCAAGGCCAGTCACTCCTCCTGATGGTTTGAGAGATGGCGTGTTTGTTGAAGGCCACGTCTGACTGGGGCTTTTGACCCTGCACCAGTAGCCTTTGTGGTATAACATGGAGTTCCTGACCTTAAAGGGCCAGTCCCACATGAGCCTGGCCAGCAGCTGCCTGGTGAGTCTCACAGAGTGACACTCAGGAGTCAGGTGTGGTTGGACTTGTTTCCCATGGGAAAAGGCACGGAGTGCCAGCTGCGGTTATACCCTCCTTTGTTTAGGTGGTCACAGTTTGACCCTGAGTGCTAGGAACAAGCTTTCCTTTTGGAGCTGGAGGGTGTAGCAATGAGTTAGAAATTGCAGGACACTCGGGGATATTTTTGACAGTGGCTGAGCGTGAGTTCAACACCTTGTAATGTATGGAACTACCTGTGACCAAGGACCCTGACTGGGGACTTTCAGACTCGTCCCTGGAGGGACGGACCCTTAGCAGCGTGATGCTGAGTGCCGCCAACTTGCTTGCTCTTACTTCTCGTGGATTTACTTCCCAAGGACACACTTGGGCCTGGCAGCTGGTGGCAAGACTAGTGGGGGTGGGTGGGTGGGTGGGCTGTGTCTCTGTGAACATCTCCTATAGGTGACACTGCGCAGTTTGCTGGGCCCATGCTGCTTGCTCCCGGCAGAGGGGCAAGCACCATCGGCCAGTGGGAGGGCGGCCTGCCAGGCATCACCTCTCTTTTATACATTTAAAATAAGAAGAGAAATTAATTAATCCCCTAGACACTGAGGGCTCACCACCAGGGTGGATGCTCAGAGCCGAGAGGGTTTCAGTGCACAGAGGTGTCTGGGCAGAGCCCTCGTCGTTAAGGACTGCCCCTGGAGAAGGGGATGCAGGAAGTAGATTTTGTGTCTGGTCCAGACAGTGGCAACACAGACTAGGCACGAGGTCCTTATGAACTTGGAGCTTGGGCAGGGCAGGGGCCGTGAGGCTGTACAGTGCGTTAGCCGCGTGCCTGCTTGCAGAGCCCTGTCGAGGCTCCGAGATGAATTCTGTTCATTTCATCTCGGTTCTGCCTTCTGCGGCATTCCTGAGTTGTGTGAGATACATCAACCCTTAATCAACTGATGGTGTTTGTGAGTGAGATTCATAAAAATCTTTGCCTACAAAGACTCTTGGAAGGGTGTTTTCTGAAATCCGACATTGGCCTTCCTGCAGCCATCTCTCCCCAGGCCTGGTGGGCAGGCAGAGAGCTCCCTTCACTTTGGTCTCCAGTGGCTTGTGGGGACTGAGGAGCATTTCCTCCTCCCTGTCCCATGGTGTCGCTTGCCCACGCTTATCGACTTGCTGTGCAGGGAGGCTTGTTTTCTCTCTGGGGAGCTGAGGACTTGGTGATGTGGCATGTGGGACCCTCCACTGCCTGGGTATGCCCAGAGGGGATACTTTACCAGAGCTGAGCTCAGGGTGAATCTGTCCTTCTGCCTAGATAATTCTGGTTCAGCAGAGCTGTTCGCTAGGCCTGAAGTTGAGGCCTAGAGCAAAGACTAACGTGACCTATGAGACAGTAAAGGCAGTGGGTCATGGAGAGCTACAGAGCTATTATGTGTGGAAGATGCCCCTTCTGGACCCTGTGGGCATGGTGCTGGACGCCTCCTCTGGTTCAACCTGAGCACATGGGCTGAGGTTGAGTGGTCTCGTGGTCTGCCTGTCCCCGTGCCCTACCCACTGGGTGTCACTTAGCGGCTGCTGACACAGTCCCATGCTGACACGGGAGCAGCACGTGAGGGTGGCCGGGAGCTTTGGAACTAATACCATTGCACACATAACTCCCTGGAAAGGCAGCCAGAGTGGGCACTTTAAAAGGACAGCTAAGAGGAAGATGAAGTCAGTATGATGGTGCCTTTATAATCAGGGCAAGTGGCTGGATAGTGCAGGTCCCAGCCACCAAAGTGAGTGCACCAACTTATTTCACAGGGGACCTCCAAAGTTGCACCCTCAGAGACCTGGTATAGGGATGCTTCCCACAGGGACATATGGAGCCACCAGCAGAACTCAGGAGGTCACATGGGAGCTTGCTCATGAGAACCTGTGAATGATAAGTGTTTCCTGGTGGTGACTGTGCCCCACATCC